TTCCTGGACTCCCATCTTGCCAGTACTCCTTCTGCACTTTTCTTCTTCTCTCCTACATCACTACATGCATAGCATATCATTACGTGCAGAGCATAGTCAAAAAGTCTGTGACTGGCCCCATGTAGGCCTCAAACTAAATAATCTGTGTCATAGGATCTCATTACACTATACCCGGCCTTCCAACCCTATAGTCTTACAATACAGATGAGGCCAGATACTGTATGAATATTTTCACAGCTCAGACCTACAGCAGTAGTGTAACTAAACTGGGGTGACTAGGATAGCCACCCTAGGTGCTGACTTACGGAGGAAGCAGAAAAATGACAGCTGCCACCCTGCCCACTGGCCACACTACTGGCACCAGCACCCTGGAGGTGCCACTGACACCATTGCTGCCCTAGGTACCAAGCTGCTGTGTTATGCCACTGATCTGCAGTAACATTTGCATGCATGGATGAAACATTTGCATGCTACCTTTTCCCTAGCTTCAACATATGAGAAATTCCGAGCCATTTAGTATGCTCCAGTTGCTTTGCCCTGCTCTGAAGATAAGATATGTTAACTAGGTTTGTGGTTGCTTAGCATTGCTAGTGTGGTGCAAAGTTGCTAGAACTTGCTGGTGAAGGTGACCCTTCTTTAAACCATGATGATAAAAGTGTTTTTTGTGGTATCCTTATAATATGCCTCCAACTGTAGTGTAGACAGGACTTAAGAGGTCTTCAGCCATCAGTACTAAACTAATTAACTGCTACACCCTTCTTTTACCATTTATCAAATGGGTTGTTTTATTTGAAGAAAAAAGACCTGCTTTTCCTACTGCCCTAACTGCATATCCCTCTCACTTAAGGCCAGTGAGTATAGGGGCAGCCAAAATGCTTCTAATGTGGACATGGCAGGCATAGTTCACAGGTGTGTATTAGTCTGCTTTTCCTCTTATGTGGGATCTGATTATGACTCTGTTGTTCCTGGACAGCTCAGCCTCTCTCCATCATCCCCCTTTTAACGAACACAAAAGCAACTTACCTAAACCATTACACTTTCCTATTCCTGGCAGAACAGCTTTTGGTTGGCTACAGACTGGAATTGTCTGGCTAACCCCCTCTCCTCCCTCCCACTTCCCCTGCAATATAAAGCACAGCCCCTATGCTGAGTTTCCAGACTACAGCACAGGGCTACAGTACCAGGTGCTGCTACAGCTGCTTGTTGCTATCTGTTCCAGTGATAAGGACTAAACCTGTTGCCAGCTGCCACTTTTCAGCATGTGTCGAGGTTTAGCTGCACTTCCCTTCACTTGCTTTGAAAGGTAAGACACTCTTAACACTGGGACACTTGGGACTCTTGTATGTGGAAAAGAAACACTAAGGTTTGTGCTGGAAGTGACTGTATTTGTAAAGCCAGGGCTTAAACTGTATTTAAAACAGAACTAAGAATGGTTCAAGGAAAATAATTTTGCTATCATGATATACCAAAGAGGAGGGGAATGAAGAGGTGAAATATAAAGGAGGGCATATGAAGGGGTAGGGCTGTTCTTGTATTTTTGTAATGTACAAGCTTCCTCTTGCTATTATCTTCCTAAAGCAACTAGCTTTGGCGTGACAGTAGAAGGGCTGTTTCTTTGAAAACGTAAAATGACATGCTGATTTTTTCCTTTAAATGTGGATGCAATGTCCTTGGAGATGTTGGGAGACTTATGTGACAATTAACTGCTTGTGTTCATGACAATTCTTCAAGCAGCTGTATCAGTATACAAATACCATTTGATCTGTACATCTTCTCCTAGAGGGAGAAAAGACAATCCAGCACTGAGATCTCTGTAGTGTTGCAGAATGAAGACTGCACTGGCAGGGAGGTGCCTCTAGTGTCTCAGAGATGCTGTAGTAGGCAGTTGTCTCTGTGCTATCGCAGGAATTCTGCAGCAGGCAGCTGCATCAAAACTGTCGCAGAAACACATCGGTATTGAGATGGTTCAATAGCATTGCAGAGGGATTGTGACACGGGGCTCTGTGTGTAGTGTCACAGGGATGATGGGTCACAGAGCTGTCTGTAAAGCTGTGGAAGCACAATAGCAGGGAACTGTCTTTGTGTTTAGAGACAGAGTGGTATGGAGTTATGTATACTGTCACAGAAATGTGATGGTATGAAACTATCTCAGTTAGTGTTGCCGCAACCTCACAGCAGAGAAATTTCTCTATGCTGCTGCTAAGCAGAAAGTGATGTCTATATTTCCCAATACTTCAGATGAGAAGGAAAACAGCTGTAAAGATAAGAGGGTCAAGGAGCAGAGACGGGCCAGTACACTATTCAAGAGACACCACAAGAGAGAATGCTAGAGGGGTAGAAAGATGTCTAGGTTTGGCAAATGGCTGCCTCTCCACTCCACATGAGCTAGCAAAAAACTCAATATATCCATGTGGTATTTGTGTGTGATACATGAGAAACATATAGAAATATGCATGAACTCCCCATATGTCTGGAAAGGCTTTTGATGGATGCTGGGGTAGAGCTGTAGAAGTGGGAGAAAAGTTTTTTGAGAGATTGAATTTACAAATAGTAATGCAATAGCTACCACTAGAGATGACAATGGGAAAAAATGATGTCTATAAAATATAAGGGCTGT